ATGTTGAAAATAGCGAGACACCTAAGCCCGTTGAAAGGCTGATAGACATTTATTGTACGGGAAATACAACGGGCCTCGATATTAAAGAGAATATAATATCCAAGCCTGGCTCCATGAATCTACCCCTCGAATTCCTAGTGGGGCAAAGCTATGATGGCGCCTCAAACATGAGTGGAAGAATTAATGGAGTGCAGGCTTTGATTAGAGCGGAGGCGCCAAAGGCAGCTTTTATTTGGTGCTATTGTCATCGATTAAATTTAATAGTTGTTCAATTATGCCAATCAGTAAAAGAGCTGCCAAATGTCTTGGGAATATTAGACGAAATTTACGTATATTTTAATGGTGTTAAAAGATATGAAGTGCTCAAAACAGGTCAGAGTGATTTACTGACAAAATCACATAGATTTTTACGCATCAAGAATACCACTCGGTAATATTATCTTAATTGTTTCGATATATAATGTTTATTTTATATTTATAGAAGCTGGCTAACATCATATAAGGCGATTGTAAATTTTTTCCTACTTTATGATGCTTTGAGGGCAGCTTTGGCAAATTTAAAAGATTCTGAAGATCCTGCCACTTCCACTATGGCTAGTGCTATAGTCTATAGAATAGAAAAATTTTATTTTATTTTATCACTATGTGTTTTGGATAAAATATTGTTGATAACTAGCTTGGCTTGTACAAAATTGCAAACCATTTCGAAGGATATAGGGTTTGCAATAAATCAAATTCAATTGGCAAATGATTGCCTGATTAATATGAGAAGTATAATTTAAATTATTATCTTTTATTATTTTATAATCCTAAAATAGATAATAACACTGAATTTTTGGATGTCTTTTCAAAGGCCCAAGATTTTATGAAGAAGAGAAATTTATTTTTTGATTTTGAAAGTTCAAGACTTCAAACATTACAATCCAAAAAGGAGAGGTATATATATACTTTCATCATTAAATATAATATTTTATTTTAGCTTTAAAATCAGTGTGTTTTATGCTGCACTTGATTTAATTATTATGCAGTTTAGTTAAAGATTTAACGATGAATCGATAAAATTTTTGAGTCAAACATCATTTTTTACCCCAAAGGGAATGGCGGAAAGGCAATTGTTAAAGATGATATCAAGGATATCTGTGAATTTTATCAATTAAATACAAGTCAAGTTTTTGAGGAAATGTTGATGTTTAGAAATATTTATAAAATGGCTAAAACGGGGGACGTAATTATTACTCGTGACCTAGAGGTTAAAGAAGATTTGTCAGATTCTGAGAATTGTAAATTTATTTAATTAAAATATTTTTACTAATACATTATTTAGCTTCTTCTGATGATGATAATAATTTTGAGATGAATGATTAAGACTAGAGAAACTATTCATTTATTTTACCTTATCGTCTGCTTATAAATTTTTCTGCTTTCCCAAATTTAACAATTTTATATAAATATTTATTAACTATTCTTACTACATCATGTACTGCCGAAAGGGTCATGAGTAAAATTAAACTAATTAAAACAAGACTTCGTAGTGTCATGAAAGATCCATTTCTTAATAATTTAACCATTTTATCAATGGAAAATAATTTATTTAAACAATTAAATATTGATGAAATTATAAATTCTTTTGCTTTCTCTTCCCCTAATTTATCTAAATTATTAATTTAAAAATAATATTTTTAAAGCATATATTTTTTACATTATATTTATATTATAATAAATATTGATGCAATAAAAATTATTTTTGAAATTTATTGGTGTCAAAAAATAATTTACAATGGGGGGGGGGTACTTTAGGGGGTATTCTGCTTCTATCCCTCAAAAAGTGTAGGGGTCACTGACTTGAGTGAGAGTACAGATGATTGAATTCATCATAGTGATTACTATTAGAACGAATTCATTCAAGATTCTATGAAAGAAAGAATGGTGGGGAACCTTTAGCTAAATGCAATACAAAATAAAATGTATGATATGTGTATATAATACGTTATGCCGATATAATATGCATATATCTGCATACCAATGTATATAGTAAGAATATCTTCTCTCGTTATCTTTTCACAAATAGGGGAGACTGGGGTTAGGTAAATCCCGGGGCTTGGTAAACCACTTAATCCATTTTAAAATTAAATACACCAGAAGGTTAAAATTTTATCCTAATATAGTTTTCATTACTATACAACTATGACAAAATATATTTTAAAATAATTAATTACTAAAAATTTTATTTAAGAAATAAAATTTTAATGAAATTTTCATAAGATTTTTACATGGCAGAATTTTAATTTTTATTAAAATATATAATCATTTATATGTAAATTTAATTTTATTACAAAGTTTAAACATTCTTCTATAATTTGGGTAAGTTTTATGAGTATCAAATTTAGATATTATTTCAATCATGATTTGTCAATTTAGAGCTAGCGGGGTTTGCTAAACCATACACGCCAATTATGGTAATTAATAATGAAAAAAATTTCAAAATCTTGAAAAGGCAATTTCATGGCTGTTTATGATTGGTATAATCTCTCCTTAAAATTCATATTTTTTTATGTCCAAAATGTTTATTAAATTAGCCAAAATTAAGTTTCAATTTTTATATATAATTAGCTTCAATTTATAAGTATTATGATATTTTGAATAATAAAACAATAAAATTATTCTATACATATCATTATTAATAAATAAAAATACATTTCAATTTATTATGGCCTAAAAAACCAATGGTTTAGGAAGCCCCTTGAAGTGTTTTGCATAACCCCGCTATTGGGGCTTGTTGAACAAAATTTTCACTTTTACAAAAAATAAAATTTTTAAAAAATTATTATATTCTTAAGATTTTTTATAAGGAATCTTTATAGAGTTATAGTTTTAGGTATCCAATCATATATTATTTTTTATATTATCTATAAAACAAGAGCTATAGCCAATTTTGTAAAAATTGGTTCGACTAACGCCAGTCTCCCCTAAGTTGCTAATGAACTTTTAGCAAATTAAAAATTGATTGCGAAATTGGGTAGGATTATCTAGAAGCCTTAATGATATCAGTAGAAAGAAAATTAATGGAAGAAATTAAATTAACTGAGATTCTTGATTATTTTTGCAAATTTTCACCATCAATACGAAAATTGTTAAGCCAACTTTGGAGGAAATTAAACTGTAGGCAACGCAGAACTACATAAAATTCCTTTCTTTCCAAGTGTTTAAAACAAATTTAGAAATAAACTTTTAAGTTTCTTATAGTATTAATTTTTTATCATTTAGTAATTTTAAAATATTAAGATCTATGACTGACTGATATATGAAATAGGGCATACATACAGTTATAAAGCATATTCATTCTAACTCTGCTTCTTTTATTTTATATGTTGGGCTACAAAATGCTAGGATGTTAAAACCCGTAACAGAAGTAAATTTTTAATACATACCAATATTCACATTTTTCAATATTAAAGCAATATAAAAAGAAAAATTAATTCTCACTCCTATGCTCCAATTTTATGAGGCCAAACCTTTTGTGGAAGATATGTAATCAAATGGTATCGGTTTCGAGTCCTGCTCAACTATATATTATTAATGGATCAAGCTCACTATTAGCACACCATTGAATAAAAATCTATTTATAATTATTTTACTTTTTAAAAAAAATATTATATTATATTTTAATATTATCATATTTCGCTTTTTATTTTAATATTATAAAAAATATAGCAGAGCTTTTATTTTCTTTTTTTATTAAATCTTGTTAATTTTTTTCTCTTCTGATCATCTTTAGAGATATTCAAATTCAATCTCTGATCTGATTCCCTGCCATATATTTTACAGTTATTTGTGACAAGCTTTCATTAACATATAAATATAAAATAAATAAAATATATTCAAAACAGAAAAGATTAAATAAATATATTACATGAAGAAACAAGAATTATAATATAAAATTATTCCTCCTAATATATGTAAAAAATATGGATAATTTATTAAAGGCGAATTGGCTTAACCATTAAATAAATGAGTGAAATAATATGTATAATAATTATGAACATAAAAGTTTATAAATTAACTTGTAGAATAATATATTCATACTCAAAGAATGAGTAATTTTTTTAAATAGATCATAGATAAAAATTAAAAAGAGAAGAATTTTCTATTTTAATATAGTGGAGAAGGTTTCAAATAAAATTATATCTTTCGCAGGCTAGGTAAAAGCGAGCCATAGGCCCGCATAGAAGGGTTGGGGGGGGGAGAAGCCACCAACTATGGGGCCTCTTTTAGAAAAACAGGGCCTTTAGCCGTCCAGTCCGCTCCTGATATAAAATATTCAATTAGAAACGATTATGATTATGAAATAGATAAATTAATTTTATATATTAAAAAATGGCATATAATTATGGATTAGCATATTTAGATTATGTTATATTGCATTATTCAGATCTGTAAGATAGCTCTTATACAGGGCTATACATTGCAGAGTTGGGCACTTTTCAAATATATCATCTTGTATGTTTTTCAAAGTGCCCATGCATTTTTTCACTTAAAAAATCGAAATAAATTAAAAAATTTATTAAAATAATTTTTTATTATATGAATTTGGATGTATGATTTAGTTATCTATCGGTTGATGAAGCTGGCAGTTTTATTCTTTGATATTACAGATTTTATGAGAGCTCGCTGTACCAAGGTCTCTCGTAATTTATAATTGATTTTGTAATATCATGTCAACAACAAATTATGACAATAAAATAGTAAAATTTGGTTATAAATCATATATAGTATATATACTTTACAAATTTACCCTGTGTAAAATGGCCAGCTTAAATTAAGCTGGGCCTGCAAATGAATTGTTTTAGAAACTATATGTGCAAGCAGCTTGTGTTATATATTTTAACTTCAAGATCATATAGCTTTAAATCCTATGTATCTTTCGGTTAAACATTTTCTATGTCCACATATTAAAAGTATAAATTATTAAAGGATAAAGAATAAAATATACCAATCAATTCCCTTTTTATAGTTTTCGCTTGAAAAAAATTGAGTCTCTTCAAAAAATTCCGTCATCTTATTCTCTTTTAAATAAGGGTTCATTGATAAAAACCAGAGTAATGCCGTTGTTCCTAATATTAAGCAATATTATTTTTTAAATAACAAATTAATATTATGCTAATCATTTTTTTGGTTTATAATTAAGAAATTATTTCTTAATTTAACCTGTTTTTTGAGGGCCAACGATTATAAATTTAGGAAATCTGTCGCAATTACCAGGACGACTCCATAATTTAAGAGCATTTGGATCCTTACATGGATTCTGATGTAAATTTAATATGAATCATATTTAAAAAATATTATTCTTTTTAAATTTTATATCCAAATAATTCAATAATATTTCAATATATCTTAATAGGAAAAGTTTTTCAATTATTTGATTAACAATAAATCCAAATGCTTACCTCAAATTTTGGTAGGTAACATCGATTATATATGTTCCTTTAAATCACATAACTCCTTTTCAAAATCATATTAACTTTTTTCATATATTTTGTACCCCATTTTACAATCTAAAGAAGTAGGGGAAAAGGCAGTTTATTTTTGAAAAAAGTAAATATAATTTTGAAGGATACTATGAATAAAAAGGCTATAATTGATCATAGGAAAAGTTAAAGGTAAGTTTTATTGTAATAAAGAGATCAAATATTAATAAATTCATTTCCAGATCACTAAGTTTTATTTGATTATATAAAATAAAAGTGACATTCTTAGATACGCATATCGTGATATTTTATAAAGTAAGATTGGAAAAATTAGAAAATATAGATATGATAAAGAAAAAATTAGGTAGAGAAATGGAAATTAAGGTTGGTGGGCTATAATAGTGTTGATAAATAATCTATTGTTAAGCTAAGCCCATTTGGGGATAACTAAAGTTAGGAGTCACATAAATAGAACAGGGATATAAGGGAAGAGTCAAGGAAAGCTGTAGAAATTGAGATAGAATTATGGTAATTAATTAGACTAGATACTATATAATGTTATAAATTGTTTTCTTATGATCTCCATCATAGTATATCATAGCCATTCATTAGAAAATTTTTTTGAATTAGTTGGTAAAAAAAATGTAAATTGATTTGATTAAATTTATTGAAAGCTATGGACAAAATGTGAGTCAGGAGAATATTGTTTATACAAAAACTATGTTAGATGATAATTATTGCAATGTTTTACATATTTATAGCGAAATTTAAATAATATTGATACAATAACATATATCAAATTTACGATACAACCTTAAAGTGAGTTAAGAGAAATTTCCAATAATTCTGGGTATGGTAAATAAAACAAAACTTAATTTCGAAATCTTACTGAAATATTTAAGTAAAGTATTAATTTCTTATTAAGTAATTAGGTAGTAAGGACCTGAAACGGTATCTATAAAAATTCTGTTCAAAATTAAAAAAGTTTCAATTCCGTAAAGGTTCAGCTGGTTAAAATTACAAAAAGTACATTTTTATAAAAACTATGAAAAAAATTTAGGTATTCTACATAATGTTTTTTTGTAAAAATCGCAGTGAAACAAATATCATATTTTATAGGATGCTTATGTTTTTAGGCATTTTTCAAAATTTGAAAAAAATAAGACAAAATTCGAGAACTATCATAAATGTAATTAAAATTTTTAATAAACTCCTAGAGTTTTTAAGAAAATTTTATTATAGATAAAAAAAAATATTTTGGACACATTTTAATTTTTGATTGAAAAAAAGATGTATTTATTTATTTTCATAAAAGTTGTGTCAATTTTTTTCAAGTTTTAAACAGAAACTAAATAAGAAAATAAATATAGTAATTTTCTATAATACTCAATTAAGGAATGTAAATATGTTTACCTTCCAAATAGGATTTTTTTCTTGCGGATATTCGGTAAAATAAATTTTGGCCAAATTTTTTGGATTGCTAGTTTTAAAGACTAAGTTTGTATGTCGTCTCATGGAATCTAAGATTTTTTCAAATACATTTATAGCTAAATGGTCATTCACAAAATTCGGTATATGTGTCATATATACATTTACCTGTTATTATTGCATAAATGTATGTAAAACATAGTAATATATTTACCTTATTATGGAAAAAATTGGAAAATATATAACCATGATTTAAATCATGAGTAATTGATCTAGATTTTAAATCCTTATTCATAGATTGTAGTGAGTATAAACCAAGGTCTTGCCTTGGGAGAACCTGTGAATGTTAAAATATAAAATTGAATTTATATATAATATATAATTACCGATATTCCGTTGAAAATGAAACCTTTTCTTTGAGATTTAGGATACATATTAGGGTAATTAATAGTGCTGGTGACTGTTATATTAAATATTTTATTCCAATATTTAAACAAATTATTATAAATTGGGTAAATGCCGGAATGTTTCGGAGATACTGCGTAACCGGTGTTGATATTCAAGTTATGTTTCTATTTGGAAAAAAAATATAGAATTTTAATGAATAAATTCGTTACAACTTTAATTTTATAAATTCTATAAAATATGCAGTTCTAGTAAAGAATATTATTTATAGATATTTATAAGGAGATCATAGGGGAAGATACTTTTTGAAACTTGTTTTTGATTTATATATTCCAACAAAAAATTGGACTTAAGTATAAATTTTAAAAAATATTAAAGATATAGATACTTTAGAAAATACCGTATCTTAGTTAGATATAGATATAAATATCTTATTAGAAATATCGAAAATTTGTACCTTTTGCTTGATTAGAATATTTTAAATGTATGATACTTTTTACATAAAGAATTTATCTAGAATCATAAGTTATTAAATCAAAATATAAAATTATTTGACCAAAATAGTGTCCTCCCAAATATTAATAAAGTTTTAACTAAATAAAAGAATTAATATATTTGAGTTTGACAAAATTTTATTTTGTGCATTTGCTGCAGAGATGATATGTTAGTTGCATTATCCGGACATACCCGAGCGTTCGAGTACATAGTTATAAGATAGCAAGCCAAAATTATAATTTCGATATTTCGTATCATTTCAAAAAATTTATCGTCTGTGTACTTAATTGAATTAATTCCAAATAATTTCTGTATTTTAAGGTATATATTAGGAATTATTTTTGTTAGGCACTTTGTCCTATTTATTTTGGGACATTAGCCTTACATCTATCTTAAAGGAAAGAGTTTTGTGTATTAATCTTTTAACAAGTTTATAATTTTGTGTATTAAAATGGTTGATTTCTTTCGCGTAAATGGATTTAATTAGACATATAGGCACTTTAGTTATGGTAGAGGAGACCGAGGCAAAGCAAATTGGATTTCGTAAATATAAAATTTGTAATTTTAACATAAAATATTTCAATATTTCAGGCTAGCGCTAGCTGACTAAATGACACATTTATTTTGATTATTATACATATATAATTAATAATTTTAAAATTTCATTTCGTTATAAGTTAAAGAGGGCACACTACGGGGTACATAGGACCATATATAAGATAATATAAAAATAATTCTTTTATTAATAAAGATTATGGGAGACACTAAAATAAGCTTTATTTTATATATTTTCTATAATGTTGTAAACGAACGCGATCAAAGTAAACGTGTTGGTGAATAAGATTAGTTACTTTATTGAAAAAATATGATGAACGGTGCTTCCTTTTATTAAAACGAATTGTGAACCTAAGCATTTACATTTTTTTGACGAACTTGTTTGTTTTTTAGGTTCATTAAAAAAGTATACTTTAAAAAAAATATTAAAATGAATTTAAATTTTATTTTTAAGCCCGCTGACCTCTCACTAGTATCCATAGGCGTAGCCAAAATTTTGCTAGGGGGGGAGGCACTATTAGGTTTATTTTTCTCCTTAAAAGTTTATTGGAGATTTTTTCGATCACCTCTTAAAGGTCTTTGGCTTACATATTTTAAATAATGATTTTTTCACTTTTTTTATATAAAAATGATATTTTCTAAAAATTTTGAATTCGTCATTTTCAAATAAATTATTAACTTTGGCTTAATCGCTTATGGCCTCATATTGTATCCATTTTTATGGGAGATGAACGTGAAAAGTGGGGGGGGGGGGGGTTTAGAAGCCTAAAATAATATTTACGAGAATAAGCAAATATCCAAAATGGGGGGGGGGGATTTTCGCTTAAAATTGTTTAATGTTGTTAAACTTTATTATAAATTTTAATTTAATATAAGTTCATAAAAAGGTTTTTTTTTTTTAAATTTTAAGAAAAAATTAATCAGGGCAAAAATATAAAATCTTAGGAAGGGTAAGAATGAACCCCCTTCACAAAGTCTGCAAGTGGCATCCTTTCCAGATACATAATCTTAAAAGCGCTTCACCTGGACTAATTGATGTTTGAAACCATCTTTCATCTATTATATATATATATAATTGTGGTTTATTTTTTAATTTATCTTAATATTTTATATATTATTGTAAAGGCAACAGTGTAATTATATATAATTTTTTTTAAATTAAAATTTGCCAAAATCAGCAGGTCATATTTGCAAAAAATGTATATAATGATGGTTATAATACTTTTGCAAATAGTAAATTATTTTCCATAGACCAATTAAGATATGTCGAATTTGCTATATGGAACTGTTGATGACTAAACGAATGTGGAAACCAATTGAAAAGTTTGCTACTATCTATCATGAAAATAATAATTTGCATTTAGATATTTTATTTATTACCAACCATTTTTTTCTACCTTTTTCATCATTCATTCTTAAAATATTATATAATTATAAAGTATATACATCCAAACTTATAATTATTTTATATGTAAAATCTATTAAAGACTTTTATTCCACATAAAAGAGTATTTTAGTTATTGAAAAATTCACGGATATATATACCCTAATTTTTTCAAATTCTCCTTTTTTATTATTATAAATATACTAAAACTAAAGTTATATTAAAGTGTTTTTATTTATCATTATATAATATTAGTCTCACTTAATAGATAGTCGTATCCCAATTGCGAAGATCTTTTTGTGTTTTTATATAGATCCCCCGAATATCCAAGATTGATTGTAAAATTTTTAATACCCCTTTTCCTTATTCTGGTTTGAAAATTTATTAATTCCTAATTTTTTTAATAAATATAAATCAAATTTTAATGTATTTTAAAAAAGGAAAATTAATGGCGATTAGTAATAGTGATGCAAAATCGCTCCATTTGAGCCGCTTTTTAAAAACAGCCAATTCAGTAATTTATTCAGAAAAATATTACGCACTCAACTGAAGATTTTGTTCATAAATGGCACAAAGGTTTAGACATCTATTAGCGAAATCTTGAAGCTTAGGCAATGTTTTTTTGTCTAAATTATTGAGTTAGCCATTTTTAAAATCGGCTCAAATGGAGCTATTTTGCATCACTAAGTAGCCACTTATTTTAGGTAAATCAGTATTATATAAATATTTGCATTTATGTGTAAGTATACCAATCAAGCGGATATGTTATGATCTAACGTAGGTGTAGTCACGAATTTGCCAAGGGAGGGGATCCTTATTAAGTGGGGTGTTCCCCATAAATTTTATTGGTGGTATTTAGGTTCATCCACCTTATTGTAGGCCTTTGCCTATTAGATTTTTATAAAAATAATTCTGGGAGATTCAAATATTTTTTAAATAAATGTTTTTTTATAAAAATTGTGAATTAGAGCCGTTAATTCAAAAGGTTATTGTCTTTTACTAATTATTCTGTTAAATTCTTATTTATAGTGATATATTGTATATGGTGGAGATGGCGGTGCTGGGTGTGTAGGGTGAATTTTTTATTAGCTAAAATGATATTTAAGAAAACAGACAAATTTGTGGTGGGGAAGGGGATTCCTCCCCTTCTGGTTACGCGCCTGTGATCTACATATAGATTTCAGTTAGCAGGAATTAGAAAGAGGTAGCAATAAGAAAATCACCTTTGATGATTTTCATATTTTAAGAGACCGTTGTTAAACGCAAAAAAATGTCTTTTAATTTTAATAAAGAAGCTTTTGTAATTATGACTTTCACAAATAAATAAGAAGCAATTATAATAACGGATTAGCTATTAAAAATTTTATCTCTTACAAGGAACACGCCCAGAGGAAAAATTTTCAGTTTAAAATCAATTCACCTCTTTTTCGAATTCAAAAGTAAAAGTGGTATGGTATGTAATCAATTCATACAATAAAATTTTATTTTTATATCATATACTACGGTATAACATAGCCTACTTAAAAAATTTATTATTATTATGTGTTCCTTAGTTTTGGATTTTCAAACTTAGAAATCTTATAACTCACAATGTTCCTCAATTTAGTGCTTTAAATTTAAGGCGCCTTTGAATCCGATTATATAAATGGATTATAGACTAAGTTATTTGAATAAATTATTAATAAACTCGTACTGAATAGCAAGGATGAAAAATTTTTTTAAAGGAGGGATTAAAGTAATATAATTGATAAAACATTATACAAAAATGTAAATTTACTTTGATATCAGATACGGACGGGTTCGTATCATCACCCACAAAAATATCATCAATATCTATCATGAAATATCGATTTTTATTTTTCAATTTATCTAGTTGTAGTCTTTTTGCGTCGTTTAATTTAGAATGATTTAGGAGTGTCAACAAACAATCATAAAAGAGAATCTGGAAAGGCCAATATTGAAGTCTAGCGCCGAAAACTATTATCTCTTGATTTAAGATTCGATTCGATAATTTTGTTGAAGATTGCAAATTTTTTAGGTAATATATAAGGGGTAACTTATTCAATTCTTGGGTTTTAGCCCCTAAATCTTCAGTATATGCTAAAATTTCATTCTCCCAATCATAGGTTACATGTGGAGAAAATGTAAAACTTCTGATAGCATCTGACTCAGAAAAAACTTCATCATAAATTTTACCAAGCTTTGGCCAGTGTTCATCAACCAGTGGTAACTTTAATATGTAAGGGACTTGTGATTCCCTGTTTACATATATGCCTTTAATTTTGGTCGAAGGAAAATTTACTATATTTTGAACCTATATATTATAATTTATATATAAAAAATTATAATTAAGTCTTAGGCCTCTAGTTCACTTTTTAACATCTAAAATGCCACTTAGTGTATGAATAAATCATTTAATTCTGTATATTATTTAAAATTTATATCTTCCGGACTCAAAAGCGGAGAAGATAGGAGGGTATTAGAATATATTAGCTTTTCACAACATCATATAAACACTATATACTTATGCTAAGTTTAATGATTTTTAATTTATAACTGGATTTCCTAAATATAAAGAAATCCTTTTTAATTTATAATAAAGATTAACTAAAGTTACCCAATGAAAATGACTGAAATTTTTTATGGTAATGAAATGATTCTAAACATATCCTAATATTATAAAAAAACTACATATAAGATAACTAAAAATCCCTATTTTATTAAATGCAAAATATATTCCTTTGTTTGTGAAGAAATTTCCTAGGCTATCTTCTTTTCCGCATTTAAAGGACCCAGGGAGAATTCAGTCTTGGATATATCCGTTGTTTAATTTCTTTAATCAATTTATTACCAAAATCCGGAAATAGCTTTAGAAAAAAACGGTATCTTATATATACTATGCTTATATATATTTCGCATTGTGATATAGAATTTATCGGGATTCGGAATCTCTTGATTTTGAATCATTTACTAAGGGCAATTTAAAAATTTTAAAAATCTGATTTGAAAGGAATTGTATTTCAGCATGTGTAGAGTACCCAAACTGTAAACTTCAAACAATTTTGCCATGAACTTTACAACTACTCCTAATTTATATTAATTTTTTTATGGATTTTCATATAAATCAAAAAATACTAAAATGTCTCTAATTCTATTTAAAATAATCGGGTTCGGGCAGGGCCGGACCTAATATTTTAAAAAAAAATTTCGGGCCGGGTCGGGTCGGACCTTGGAAATTTTTTTAAATATATTTTATATTGAATTTTTTTTGTAAAATAAAAATATTTGATTTTATTTATTGAAACTAAAAGACATAACATATGTCTTTTATTTTGAGTAATTATAGAGATTAATTTATATATTTAAATAAATTCGGGCCGGGCCGGGTTGATAAAATTTTTTTAAAAAAATTTATGAGGCCGGCAAAACTTTTTTAAAAAATTTCGGGTTCGGGCCGGGCCTGGCTTGAAAAATTAGGCCCGATGCAGATCACTAGTAAATACCATGCTAGAATACATAATTTTTTAAATCGCCCTTGGTAAAGAATTTAAAATTGAGAATCCCCACAGATTCCATATCCCAATACGACATTTATATTATAACTATAGGTACTACACTTTACATCTGTATATATAAAATTGAGTACAGATGTAGAAGTTATGCTTTTTAAAAATAGTGTCTTAGATAATTTCAAAATTATAACTTTGTATAAATAAATATAAAGCAGTCTCCTAACTAATTTTTAAAAAAAAATTGAAAGAAAATTTTATATGACCATTTCTTGTTTTCTATTCCCGGTTTTCGGTGGTATACTAATTTTTACATTAAATACCAAATTTAAATAAAATAGGTATTATTATCTAAGTTATTGCTTTCTCTTTAGTATTTCCCTAGGTATATTTGGAATAAAATGAAATACAATTTTGTTAATTTCACGTTTCTAAATCTTTCCTCTGGAAGTAAGAGGATTTGAGTAATAATTTCTTTTTCTTTCTAGATTAATATATATATAATATATTGCATTTTACCTTATAACTTATCATTTCAAATCTTCAAAGGGCTCATAATGATACTTTATAGATTTAAAATGCACATTTTATCGATTGCAAATGATATTTATTAGGTAAAATATCAAATAATATAATTATATCAAATTATAAAAAAAAATGAAAGAGCCCGGCTAGATTTTTGATTAGTTTAAAAATGTAATTTAACATTATATATACATATCTTTTTAAGTTTAAGAAAAATATAAAAAATGTTTTACCTCTTGAATAGTAGTAGTGATGAAGAGGAAAAGTTTGGGTTTAATAAGATTAATATAGTATTTTAAGTACTCCACATCTAGATAAGTTTGTTTTGTGATATACTCGTTACCAACCATCGTGTCAAACACACCTTCATGCGGAATTTCGGAGTAATCTATACCATCTATCAAGTCAACATAGTCCATTAAATTTTCGAAGATGATGATGTCAAAGCATTCCTTGTTTATGATGACATTCGTTTTTAAGTAATTAGTAAAATAATTGACAAAAAAGGCTTTATCGAGTGTTTTATTTTTGTCAGGAGTCTGTTGAACTGCAGTGTCAGGATTAAAATTATCTATGGCCAAAACACGATAAGATAATTTGGCGTAATTTAAAGATCTTTTTAGATCCTTTGTTAATGACTCCAATTTTGGGTCCGACACTATTAGCACATTAAACCCGTTAAGTTTGATGCAATAATCATTTATATGTTTTGCGTTAGCAAAGTCAAAATCATTTAGAAACTTGTTGCTGAAATTGAAGTGCCTATCATAACTTTGGAATGATAATGTATCAAGGATTCTTTCTTTAGAAATTCCATTATAATTTTTTAAATCTATAGGTTTTATACAATATTATATTAGAATGAGAAGAATATAATTACTATCAATCAAGTGAATATAACAATGCTATTGATGGTATTTTAAAAAGTAGCACTCTATAGCTACTACTACTTTCCAAAAAAAGTAGATCGCAATTATATAACTACTTCTCAAAGAAATAGCCCTCCTTAGTTTTTATAGTTTAAAAATGTAGGATAGCTATTTTAATTACTTTAAAAATTATGTCTAAATTTTTTTTCATTAAGTCTGGGCGAATAAATTAAATATTGCAGCCCCAATTATATATTTTTTATAATCGTAAATAATATTTTATACAAAATTGAAATATAATAATTGTAACATTTTGAGAGTTTTGAAAGGATTGAGAGATTATAATCGTTGTCAAATAAGAAAGGTTAGAAAAAAATGATACTAACTCTTTATTAAATAATAAGT